CTTCAGACTTTTATTATGAAGACTCATCACGCAGATAGTTTCAAGCTCAAAATGTTTACTCTCTTTCTTTCCCGGCTCAAGTGAAACTCATTGGACGAAATCAAATCAGACCACTTCCGAAACGCATCAGTTCGCTTCCGCACACGTAGCCAGCTTTCGATTCCTCGTAATATCCACTTCCTCCATGTTTCCAACAAAATTTTTTTCCGCTGTCCTTTGGTCGGCTGACGCCAGTTGCATTCTCAAGCACCTCATAAGATGTCGTTTACGCCTCCAAGAGAACCGTCAATTTTTGCAAAATTAAAAATTACTCCAGCCGCTCGTCACAACCCACGCGTATTCCGCCTACTACGAATCTCTCATAGAATACGTATTTCAGATAGAAGCACGATGCATCGAAGGTGACCATGAGGTGTCTGCTAGTGCTAGTTATCCTCGTGCTGGCCAGCGTTGGCGATGCCGTAGTGCAAGATGAAGAAGAGACCTGCTCGGGGGCCAAACCATGTGCCCCAGGTGTAGTGCTGCCCGTATGGCAACCTCAGGTACGTCTCAACCCTATGGTCATGTTTTGAACACGCGAGTTCTTTTTGTACTAGGATTCCTCTCTTTCATACACACTTTCACTCATTCCTATGGCAACAAAAATACAGCCGAAACACTCTATTTTACGACGTCTCAAACTGACATCTATGCAAATTAATGTTCTGTGATTGATGCGAATTTTCATTACTATGTGAATGAACAAACACAATCGCTTCATCTATGTTAGAAGAATCTCAAACCGAAGGTTGTAAGTATCATAATTCTAGCACCAGAATTTTTCACGATTTGTGATTTCTTCCAACTTCGAAAATCTGAGGTATAGAGGAAGAAAGCTTGCACTTCTAACAGATGTATGTACCATATATCCTTATTGCAAGCATCTCTTCCATTCTTCGATATGAAACTCTCAAATGTTTCGATCCCCCCACAGCATTCTGCACGGATTTCAAAAAGTGCCTTGAATGTGAAGAAATCTGCTTCCAAG